TACTTGCATCAAATATCCGCCATCTTCTTTCTGCCGCCGTCTTCTTTCAAGGTCCAGCAGCAATTCAGTCAAAATTTTATGCTACTCTAAATCATTCTTATTTTAGTTTCATTCTTATTTTCAACTACATATTTCAGTATTTTCAAAAGTTTTCAACAGTATTAAACGGGATGAAACTTTTCGAAAAAGAAAAAAAAAGAAAGATATATGACACCCACAATGCATCGCGCGGGAAAGAAAGTTAAGCCGCCATATTGTCATCGCCTCGCAAAATTTACCACCATAAAACGTGAGTCTTCATCACTGTATTTACAAATTTCAATGTCTGATTATCGTTAATACACAACACAAAACGTTTTCTTGATGTACAAGTAATGAAGAAAATGTCGATAAGGTTGTTTCATTTAATGACTAGGATCAGCAACTTGTAGGGGCGATAATCCAATGATTACGGTAATGTCCGGCAGATGGAGTAGGAGTAAACTTTCGATTTATGAACCAATGAAAACGAAGTACTGATACTCAGGGCCAGGGGCGACAGCAACATGCTGAAGAGCATTGAAAATGCTCTTAGCATAAAAAGTATTATAGTTAATGCTTATAATTTAATTTTAAAGGATAAAAAAAGCTTTCATTAAATTCCCAATGTTTATTCCCTACAAAACAAGTAACCATTCAAACTCGATGACCGTTGTAACAAAATAGAGTTTAGATGTACTGTTACAAAATGTGGTTTCAATATTATACATAATAATAATATTATAATATATATATAACAATTTTTGACTGATAGGTTGAAATAAGTTAGCTTAAACAATAGTTTGTTTAATGTTCAATGGTAAATCAATATAACACATATAGATAGTTCACAGGGGTGTGGATAATTACTTGCATATATACACTTAGGTTGGTATAGTCTGGGCCCCGAGAATCTTATCAGTGGGTGTACAGCTTCGGCCAGTTAATTAATTGGAGACCATCTAGTAACAAGTGAAGTCCATATTGGGGGATGGATGGACAAGCTTGGTCGAGAGTAAGATAAAAGAGTGGGGGGGGGATCTTTAGGTTAGAGCACGTGACCTTTGGGGAGCACACCAGATGGACAGTTCTGATACGAGACAACACAAAGTACTAGTATGAGTATATGAACTCTGTATGTTGATGAGATGTTGCTTTTGTACATTAACATTATTATTATTCAACATGTAGTAAACATGGCTATTACCAACAAGTATGTGTGTTTACGCCTACTGTGTTACACCGTGTGAAAAATATTTATCGACTGACAAATGAACACAGTTGTTTTTGTTTGCTGCGACCAATAAAAAAACAGCATCAACTGGCGCACTTCCATTCATAGCGAGCTGAGGCAAAGTTAGCCAAGTGAGTCGGATTTAATGACCAAAATGAAAGGTACAGTTGTTGAAACTTAAGTGACACATTACAACAGACGATGAAATGTTACTTGAGAGTAAAAAGTCTTTTTATTCCTGATAACGCGAAACTGAGCGACCGAGTTGAAAATGTCGTTCACGTACTTTTCTCCCCCATGAGAATTTCAAAAAGTTGGCAAGTATGAAAAGATAGTATTTTTTATTAAATTATAAAAGGGGTAAACGCAGGCTATTCTTGTTACCTCCCCTTGATCAATATTTGTTCACAATGTGAACTTCTGGTAGAACCGAATGTAGTTCATACTTTATTTTTTATGTTATGAGCTGATAACATGAAAACATGTAGCCAATGAAAATGCTTGTTACTTGTGAAATTAAGTTATCTCCCTTTGGATCATTGTCTTCCACCGGTAGTTGGCCCTAATGACCTATCTGTTGCCGGGCCTTTAAGACTAATAATAATATTTGATTTGTACAGGTATATGGTGTACTTCAAGGATCCATTTTCATCCTATAGAGACAACCACCGAGATGAAGTTGTCCTTGCCCGTCTTCGGATGGGTCATACATACCCTACACATTCATATATGTTGAAAGCCATTCACTGTTATTTTTTTTAACTGTAGTGACCTTCTGTCTACTCAAGAACATTTTTATCGTAACATTACATTCTTAAAACCCTTTTTGAAACTGTTGAGATTTGCAAAATTCTACATTACCTGAAAGATGTTGGTCTATATAATAGACTATGACATACCATTGAAATCTTTAGTGATAACATACCCATTTAAGATTTTTAACATTTGTATTTTACATTTTCGTTTGTTTAATATTATTTCCTTTTGGATCACTGTGTATTTTACCGTTTGATGGCCCTAATGACCTTTTATGTGTTGACGGGCCATTAAGAATGTAATAATAATAATATTAATAAAAAAAAAAAAATCTTCGTTATCAACAAAATAAATTGCCTGCAACACATATATATATATAATAACCTTTTAAAACCAACAAGGATATCTATCTTCTACTTGCCACAGAACATTTACATACAGAGAAATCCAGGCTAATCGTCTCGTCCTATGGAAGACCAATGAAACAAAATCTGTTGAACTACTGCTGTGGTATAAAACTGTTGCTGTTTTCTGTGTAGAAGTACAACACAAACAATAAGTAACTTTGTGATCATACATGTTTATTGTAGAAGTTTTAATCAGTATTCTGAGAAAATGACGGGTGTGAGCTGACATAGTTGCTTCTTTGCCATAACACATTTACTTAATTGCTTGGCATAACACATTAACTTAATTGCTTATCATAACACATTAACTTAATTGATTATCATAACACATTAATTAATTGCTTGCCATAACACATTAACTTAATTGTGTATCATAACAGATTAACTTAATTGCTTGGCATAACACATTAATTAATTGCTTGCCATAACACATTAATTAATTGCTTGCCATAACACATTAATTAATTGCTTGCCATAACACATTTACTTAATTGCTTGGCATAACACATAAACTTAATTGCTTACCCTAACCCATTCACCTAATTGCTTATCATAACACATTAACTTAATTGCTTGCCATAACACATTAATTAATTGCTTGCCATAACACATTAATTAATTGCTTATCATAACACATTAACTTAATTGCTTGTCATAACACATTAATTAATTGCTTGCCTAACACATTAACTCTCTTGCTTACCATAACACATTAACTCTCTTGCTTACCATAACACATTAACTCTCTTGCTTACCATAACACATTAACTCTCTTGCTTACCATAACACATTAACTTAATTGCTGTGGATGACATGTAATAGGCATCCAATATGTAGCTCAGTAACGGGTACAGTATGTACTACAAGGAGAACCTGCCTCAACATGACCCTGGCTGCTCGTAGGACGATAATCCAAGCAAAGAAAGAAGCAAATAAGCAGTAATGAGATAACATGCTGCAACACAGTGTATGTAAAAACATCACCATACTACACTGGAAACCTAATTCCTGCAGAGTTCAAATTTTGAAGCAAGTCATCATATGATCTTGACTGTGGAAATTGCATTTTCAATTGTTTCTATTGGTCTTAAAGCTTTAATAAATAAATGTAGCTGTATCCATATTTGCTGAATATCATTTTACAGATATTAAAGCAAGATTTCTAGGGGAGATAACCTCATTGAATATTGGTACAATTTCTGTAGAAATGCCATGATCCTGTAAATACAGTGCTCTGTCTGTGTTAATCAGCCCCTCCAACACTGGCTGCATAAGGTACTGAAGAGCCTGCAACAGAATGGTACACCTGTACATCAGAATGGTATACCAGGTAGCCCTCTTGGAATGGAAAGATAAAAAATACATCTATTCTTGGAGAGGAATTATCCAATTTCATATAATAAAGAGAAAAATTGAGGAAAGAAGGGGAAATATATGTAAAGAACAAAAGAAGATGAAACAATGGACGACACTAAGAACTGAGATCTTACAACCTTCGCTTGGAATTTGACCCACGATGAGGATGAATTTCTTCATTTTAATTATTGATCATTGTACATTTGTAAGACTGTTTTTGTATCAGGACAAGTTTTGTAGAAGCAAGTTTTTTCTCCACATAAACATTGGAAAAGCTCTGTTCTGCAGCCCAATTGAAGTATGATTTTAATGTGTCTGCCGAATGACGTGTAATGATGTTTTCCTATTAAAGTTCCCTTTGGAAACTCAACAGACTGAACCAAGTGATGTAAATGTAAATATAGTTATACCATTTCAGTGCATTTGTCACTAAGTTCAGTAATTATTGATGATACATCATTGTACTAATTTACCATGGAGAGATAATATATTCCTTAAGGAAAGAGTACTTACTGTCAAAGGTTCAATGTATTTCATTTTGTCTTTATTTTCCTCAAACAAGCGGAACAGTTCAGTCTTGTCTATTCCTGAAACAAAACATTTTTCCACTATCTTCAATGGAATAAAATTGTGAACAGTACATTTATATATATCTTTCGACTAAAATGAATACGGAAACCGTAGTCTGTCTTTGAAGAATAATTTTTTAAACCCCAAATAATCTATTTAGTATATTATGTTATTGTATTTATTATTTATTATATTTATTTAATCACAATTAACAACACAATACTGTATAAAATGTTTGTGGGTACTTTCAGGGTTGAAGTCCAAGTCATCATTTTGACGGTAACAACTTTCACTGACATCACACTTTTGTTTCAATGTAATTCTTGTTACATTTTATTATGATCATGTCTATATCAATAAAAACAACAAACCAGTGATACAGGCCCTATGGGTCTCTTGTTATGATTATGCCAATAGCAAAAAAAAAACCCATTAAACCAGTGATACAGGCCCTATGGACCAGTTGTTTCAGTTATATCTTTACAACAAATTGACTACAAATTTGGGCAGATGAAAATGGTTTTGAATTTTCACAATCAAAAACTGGATGCATTTTTGTCCAATGCGGAAACAACACGACGATCCAAGTCTGTCTCTCTGCAGTGTACCCATTTCAGCTGTTGAGCAAACGAAATTATTAGGTGTAACATTGGACAGGAAATTGTCATTCCTTCAACACATAAAATACCTTAAAGCCAAATGCCTTAAGGCAATGAATCTTCTAAAGGTTGTGTCCCACACTGATTGGGGATCTGATAGAAAAGTTTTGCTAAGACTCTATAGAGCCCTTATTAGATCATAATTAGACTACGATTCCATTGTGTATGGATCTGCTAGACCTTCATATTTAAAATTATTAGACACTGTTCATCACCAAGGTCTCAGGCTCGCTCTCGGAGCTTTTAAGACCACACCTACAGCAAGCCTCTATATAGAGGCTAACGAGCCTTTACTATATAGTCCTCAAAATAAATTGGCTTTGCAATACACCATTCAGCTAAAGTCAAATCCTGCCTTTATCCCTGTATTTGATCCCAAATATAACACCTTGTTTCAAGACAAACCAAAAACCATTCCTTCATTTGGTATTCGAAAATCCGCTCTTTTACAAAACACAAATATTAATGTAAACCAAATTCAGCCATTTGGAACGATAAATTCCACCCTGGCTCATGAATTCACCTGAAGTTGACTTTTCACTTTATGAAATGGTTAAATCAGACACAGACAGTTACACCTTTCGTTCATCCTTCTCGAAATTGCAGTTAAAATATAAAACATTTCTACATTTATATACTGATGGTTCAAAAGATAATGATAAGGTTGCCACGGCCATGGTTTCACCAGATGAAACCTATGGATGCTGACTACCGAACAATGCCTCAATATTCTCAGCAGAAGTGCGAGCTATCTACCTCGCCCTTGAATATATTCAAAGAAACAAACTAATGAGAGCTGTTATCCATTCAGACTCTCTTTCTGTTCTACAAAGTCTTAGCAATAGAAATATAGAAAATATTTTCATTCGTAATACATTAATACTATATCATGACTTTGCCTTTAACTTTCGTATTGCTTTTTGCTGGGTCCCTGCGCACATGGAAATACCAGACAAAGGAAGCTTCATTGCTACCACCTGTTGTTTTTAAAATTCATTTTACCGATTTTAAACCATTAATTAAACAAATTTTAATAGCTCAGTGGCAGAAGGAATGGAATACATATACCAAAAACAAATTGCACTCCGTTAAACCTGTTATTGGTGAATGGTCTCTTAGACTATAGAGACAACCACCGAGGCGAAGTTGTCCTTGCCTGTCTTCAGAAGCGTCATACATACATTACACATCATATATGTTGAAAGGTGAAGATAATCCTTTGTGCATAGGATGTGATGAACCATTCACCATTAAACATTTTTTATTGGACTGCACTGACCTTCTATCTACTCGAGAATGTTTTTATCATAACATTACATGTCTAAAATCCCTTTTTGAAACTGTCGAGATTTGTAAAATTCTACATTACCTGACAGATGTCGGTCTATATAATAGACTATGACGTACCATTTTAATCTTTTGTGTTAACATACCCATTTAAGATTTTTAACATTTGTCTTTTACCTTTTGGTTTGTTTAATATTATTTCCTTTTGGATCACTGTGTGTTTTACTGTTTAATGGCCCTAATGACCTTGTATGTGTTGACGGGCCGTTAAAAATGTAATAATGATAATAATCTTTACAACAAACATTTTGTGTTATATAACATACATATCAAAATATATCACAACTGATTAAGATGTTTTATCTAAAGTCATACAACTTATTTTAGATTCACACAAAGTTGAACATTAAGTACCTGGATCCTCTCCTGCTTGGTATTTAAGACGACTGCAGGCAGCATCAACATACGCTGTAAACGAGATATAGTCAGACTTTCTTGCTATCTTCCTGAACATTTTATCACATTTCTCTGTATCTGTAACAAAACATCACAGTCTGTAATACAACATCACAGCCTGTAACACAACATCACAGTCTGTAACACAACATCACAGCCTGTAACACAACATCACAGTCTGTAATACAACATCACAGCCTGTAACACAACATCACAGTCTGTAATACAACATCACAGCCTGTAACACAACATCACAGTCTGTAATACAACATCACAGTCTGTAACACAACATCACAGTCTATAATACATCAGTCTGTAATACATCACAGCCTGTAACACATCACAGTCACAGTCTGTCTGTAACACAACATTACAACATCACAACACAACATCACAGCCTGTAACACAACAACACAACACAGTCTGTAACATCACAGCCTGTAACACAACATCACAGTCTGTAATACAACATCACAGCCTGTAACACAACATCACAGCCTGTAATACAACATCACAGCCTGTAACACAACATCACAGTCTGTAATACAACATCACAGTCTGTAACACAACATCACAGTCTGTAATACATCAGTCTGTAATACATCACAGCCTGTAACACAACATCACAGTCTGTATTACAACATCACAGCCTGTAACACAACATCACAGTCTGTAACACAACATCACAGTCTGTAATACAACATCACAGTCTGTAATACAACATCACAGTCTGTAACACAACATCACAGTCTGTAATACAACATCACAGTGTGTAACACAACATCACAGTCTGTAACACAACATCACAGTCTGTAACACAACATCACAGTCTGTAATACATCAGTCTGTAATACATCACAGCCTGTAACACAACATCACAGTCTGTATTACAACATCACAACATCACAGCCTGTAATACAACATCACATTCTGTAACACAACATCACATTCTGTAACACAACATCACAGCCTGTAACACAACATCACAGTCTGTAACACAACATCACAGCCTGTAACACAACATCACAGTCTGTAACACAACATCACAGTCTGTAACACAACATCACAGTCTGTAACACAACATCACAGCCTGTAACACAACATCACACTCTGTAACACAACATCACAGCCTGTAACACAACATCACAGCCTGTAACACAACATCACAGTCTGTAACACAACATCTGTCTGTAACATGACATCACAGTCTGTAACACAACATACATCACAGCCTGTAACACAACATCACAGTCTGTAATACAACATCACAACCTGTAACACAACATCACAGCCTGTAATACAACATCACATTCTGTAATACAACATCACAGCCTGTAACACAACATCACAGTCTGTAACACAACATCACAGTCTGTAACACAACATCACAGCCTGTAACACAACATCACAGTCTGTAATACAACATCACAGCCTGTAACACAACATCACAGTCTGTAACACAACATCACAGCCTGTAACACAACATCACAGTCTGTAACACAACATCACATTCTGTAACACAACATCACATTCTGTAACACAACATCACAGCCTGTAACACAACATCACACTCTGTAACACAACATCACACTCTGTAACACAACATCACAGTCTGTAACACAACATCACAGCCTGTAACACATCATCACAGCCTGTAACACAACATCACAGTCTGTATTACAACATCACAACATCACAGCCTGTAACACAACATCACATTCTGTATTACAACATCACAGCCTGTAACACAACATCACAGTCTGTAACACAACATCACAGTCTGTAACACAACATCACAGCCTGTAACACAACATCACAGCCTGTAACACAACATCACAGCCTGTAACACAACATCACAGCCTGTAACACAACATCACAGCCTGTAACACAACATCACAGTCTGTAACACAACATCACAGCCTGTAACACAACATCACAGTCTGTAACACAACATCACAGCCTGTAACACAACATCACACTCTGTAACACAACATCACAGCCTGTAACACAACATCACAGCCTGTAACACATCATCACAGCCTGTAACACAACATCACAGTCTGTAATACAACATCACAGCCTGTAACACAATCTGTAACACAACATCACAGCCTGTTACACAACATCACAGCCTGTAACACATCATCACAGTCTGTAACACAACATCTGTCTGTAACATGACATCACAGCCTGTAACACAACATCACAGTCTGTAACACAACATCACAGTCTGTAACACAACATCACAGTCTTTAATCTAATATGACATACAGAAATATTCTAAGTATGAATTCAAGTGATATTAACTCACTTGCTAAACCTACAAACAATTAATTATCGAGTACTGTTCTTTAACTTTTCTGATAATTTGAAGTCACCTCATTATTACTTCATGGAAAGTCACTGAAAACAGTGACCTTGACCTTCACATCTGGAAGCATACCTACTTGTTATTTACATGGTTGACTTCTGTATAATCTACACTTGTACAAATTATGACACATCTGAATTTGACCTTGATATTTGACCTTACTTGTACATGTGTACAGCTCTAGGATAAATTAGGGACTGTATACTATTATCAATAACACAGTTCCTGAAGACTTACTTGAACTTGTGTACAGCTCTAGAATCCCTCGGTAACCAACATTCTTTGTGTGATAGTCATGATCTTCAGCTGTCTGTTTTCCCCAACGACCTCTAAAATTGTTTTCAAGTCAAAAATGATTGATTTACTAGATAAGAGGATGTGATACTAGCATCTCGTGTCGGTACATTCATTCTATGTAGTACAGAGGAGTCTTGTATCGGAGGAAATTTTCAGAATTTAGAAAATATTAAACGAATACAAATTAAGAAACAAATCTTTTTACTAAAGCATATTGAAGATTTTTGGATCATTATCTTATAACTTAAAAGTTATTATCTCAAATTTTTAGTAATCATTAATTTTGATTAGAATTTTGACAGCACAAATGGTTGATGGTTTCTCATGTGATGAATACATAAGGTTATTTTGTTTCAGTAAGAAAAGAAAAACAAAATACAAAAAAAACAAAAAAAAATCATGGAGTTTAAAAAAAATCCCATTTCGAAGCCTCTCTCTGAAGCCATGGTTCATTTTAGTAAACAATATTTCTTGTTTTATATATCTTATAAAAAAAGTTGCATCATTTTTATCAGAAATCAAATAACCTGACATTCCCAACATTACCTACCTGGTCTCCTGTGCTGCTAATCGCAAAGCAAAGGTGTTGATACCCCACAAGGGGTTATCCCCCTTTACTTTGTTGTATATTTTACTTGTTGCTGCACTCATAGGGAAATTGTACAGAGTCTCGTTTTCAGCTGAAACAATTATTATTGTTATAATTACATTCTTTACAACCCTTCAACACATAATAGGTCATTAAGGCCATCAACTGGTGAACAACACAACAATCCAAAAAGGAAATTAAACCTAAAATGTACAAGACAAGAATTAAAAATCTCACATAGTTATACAAAAGAACTACCAACAAATACATATACACAAGACATTAATAGACTAACATATATATTCTATTACCATCATTTGGGTCACAAAGAGAGAACTTTTTGCCCTTTAATATGTTACGGTTTCCAAACTCAATAGACACTTACCTTTGACCTTCATTCTGTGGTAACAGCAGCTGACACAACACAGCCCCCTGACAAAGTCCAGGCACCTAAAATACTCCATCATGGTAGGTGTGAGGTCACCACAGCAATGTAGGCCAATCATCAGTGCTCGTGGTAAGGTCAAGGTCAGTGGTTTATCCAGCTTTGTTAATGTCAGGTGCGAATCTGGCGTGTTGCCATCCCTACACTCACATCCTAAAGTTAAATCCTTGGACTGATGCATGGCATCAGCCTTAGTATCAGGTTGACTTGATTCACATTCGGGTAGAAACTCCTTCTTATGACTCAAAGATAAATTGTCAAGATCAGAATCCCAAGTTTCACATTTTTCACTGTACATGTCCCCTGTTTTAGTTTCATTGTGATTGTACTGAATATCAGATTTACATTTCTGACGATGTGTTGAAACATCCTCTACACACCTATGTCCTTCAACTGTCACTAATGGGGGTCGTCTCAACACCAAATCATCGTGAACTGTAATCTTGTGTTCCACTGGCTTGTTCTTGTCTACACTATCACATTCCTTGCTGTCTGTTGGTACTTGGTCACAATTTCTGCACACTTCTGATTTACTTACAGTGTCCTCACTACAACAATTTTGTAGTTGACAAGTGTTGTACACTAATTTTGAAAATTTATCCATATTTTCCTGGCCTTTTTCCAGCTCAAAGGTAACATTGTGTATTCCATTCTGGTGACCTGTAAAAGAAGTATCTCTTTAATCCATTACATTCATTAAACAAACCTTTGTTTATTTCACCACAATTGTACAACAAATTGATCCAACATGTACTGATCACTCTTGTTTGCCCAGATGACAACATGAAAGTGGTTTCACAGTGGTAAGAAACAGAAGAACCTGTTGAAAACTCCTATGGTGGGGCAGGTGACCATATACATTTTCATGTCTGTTTCAGGAATCAAACCCTGGACACATTTGTGAAAGCTGAGTACATTACCACGGCATCCTCTGACATATCTCAATTCAACTGATATAGACTATAAGACACACAATACGACTTCGCTACAGGACAGATATACATGTAGATAATGGAAGGGAATAACAATGTCTAGTAATGTTTCTCACAGAAAACTCATGCTTTATCTCACAATGTTACACAAGAAAAGTATGACTACACAATAATAAAAGAAAGCAAGTTATCCATTTCCTGAGTGATATATCATTGATATCAGTTCACAAAACAGTAATCAGTGACAGAAATACATTGAACGTCCTCTACTACTCCATCATCATTCTATATTTTTGTGGGTTTTTTTTTTTTTGTACAGTCTAACCTGTATTAAACGGCCACTGTGGGGAAATTATGAAAATGGCCTTTATAGAGAGGTGGCCTCTTAATTGAGATTCCTTATTTTCGAACCCAAGTTGCAGCAATTTGCACACTGATATTTGAATACAGTTTAATAATCAGGATTGTCACTGTCTTCCTGTACTTGGCAGTTTGTGGTTTGGTCTGAGTTCATTTGCTGCTCATATTTTGAAGTGATTTGCCACAATAGTGATAATATGCCTGTATTGTGTTACCAGTGACATAAATGAAATCAAACTCAATATAATATACATGGTGAATTGTGTTTACGTGCCATCAGCTGTTTTCTTTGTAGGAATGTTCACGTGGTCGCAGTCAAAAAAGCTCGTCAAATGACTTGTGGTCAAAACGGCCGTTTAAATGAGGTTTGATCACGAGTTTGGGGACGAAAAAGGTGGCCGCTGGCCGCGTTAGAAAGGTGGCTGTTAAATTAGGTATCATTAATGAGCAAAAACGATTGGGAGGGTCTGAATACGGCAGGTCTAACTAAGGTGGCCGTTATAACAGGTTAGACTGTATCTTGTAAAGGCAGGTAAGTCCATACATCAACCTATATATCATTAGTTACATTTATCACCCCGTGAACAGTCAGGTTTCAATTCTCATCAACAAGTAATGACAATGGGCATGAGCTTACTGACTAAAGAATCTGACTAAATTCTCTTACCTGTAACAGCCCTTCTCTCCGCTCCTGAAGTGTGACATTGCTTACTCTCAAATCCAATGATGTTGTAACCAAATTGTTTTTGTAGTATTTGTCCCAGGTAGCCCTGTCAAATAAAGGCTACAAGTATAAAAACATTTTGTTTGTTGTCCCTTTTATACATATCAATTTCTTTCATTTTGTTCAAGATAAATTTAAAGTAGCAGTTAATATGGTATAACCTTGATAAAATATTACGTAACTTTGATATATGTAGTGACCACTACAGCTAGAATTTAAACTGTTTATTCCTACAGAAAACACAAGGACCCAGTTGATTTAGAATTAATGAGTCTTTAAAGGAAACTTTCAATTATCAAACAAAATTTGGACTTCTTTATCATTTAGCAACTGTAGATTTATTATCATAATTTTTGTGTTTGTGTTACTTTGAAAGTCCTTTGACTTTTAAGTGGCAGAATCTAAATTTAAATTGAACTTGGTAAATTTTCAGCAAGCTTTGATCCATCCGCCTATTAGATAATTTTGTGTATATATTTTACAATAAATGTTGGTCATTTTCCAGACGTTTTTTTTTTCACCATTTCACTTGACATTAACCTGATCAAGAAACTTTTATCCCTGAAAAACAAGACAGGTGTAAATTTCTCTGCAACAATGTGCTACTAAAAGCTATTTTCATACTGGTACTATCAACGGTCAATTCAGGAAGTTTGCAATTATCTAAGAGCATCTGCAACCTTTGAATTTGCTTGGATGAATTAAATGGTACATAACATGGATTTTTTTCACATGCTTTTACAGAATATTTATGTTTATAAGCAAAGGTTGATCAATTAATAGTGGTACTATGACAAATCAACAGTCTGAACCAATATTTATGAAATTTATATGTCCTCTTATATTCAAATTTAAATATTTTATTTCTTCAAATTAATTTTCTAGTTTTATGTGAAAATTGCAGAAGTTTTGACCCACAAAAATAAGTAGATATACAGTAATGCTGTAAAAGGAGCTGTTTGGTATACTCCAATTTCATATTGTCCTGATTCAGTGTGATTATCAACATTTTGAATGGAATGTTCTACAATGGGTTTTCAATTTTAATGAATAAATATTATGTATCACATTTACCAGGCCCGACCCGATATCCAAGATGACATCACAATTAGCTTGGCGTGCCACATCATGCACCACTGCTGACATTAGAGACACCTCATGCTGTTTCTTTGGTGTCATGCCTCGACACATATCCGGGCTAATGATAACAGGGGTCACACCATTCCTCTGTGACCTTGGTAGGGATAAGGTCAAGGCTGTTCTGATGAAATTTTTCAGAGAGTCTGGCCATTCTTCCTGAACAAAATATAAAATTTAAAGTGTAACATAAAATATCAATATTGTCAAATGATTAGCTTTCAACATTACAGCATGAAGTCAAGACTGATGATAAGCTCAACTATATATTATATATCAACAGTTTCATTGTCCTGTAATAAGATGACACCCCCCTCCCCTCCCTCCTCTGTCCAATAAGTACCATGTCAACCTTCTGGGCTTATTACGGGACAAAAATAGTTATTTAAGTTATAAATGTAAAACAGTGACATGACTTTTCAAAAAATGTGATATCTGGCTTTAATTTTATCACATGATATTGTTGTTGAAATATTCAATGCTTTACAATCACTTGTTTCATTCATTGTCATCCTCGATACTCCGGTTTGCTACAATCACTTTCACCCTCTGCACCCCTAGAACTTGTCATGATAAAATTTAAGATTCCATGCGACACCTTGTGGACAGGACAAAATGACAAGTCTTTGATGTACATCAAATGAATATGGAGGTCACATAACGGTACATTGTATATTGAATGTTTCACATTGCTCCTTTATAATCTTTAAATGGAGTATATCCGCCTGTGATGGGTCAGTTTTTTTCACCTGAAACCAATTCAATTACTTTGTCTTTGCCTTCAAATTTGCTATGACATGTTCCAGGGGTGCAGAGAGTGAAAGTGTTCGTAATCCCTGTAGTATTGTATTCATTGTAGAGTAAAAATGTTTCTCATAATGGCTTCTTTTTATGGTCATAATGTGTATCTCATCAGCACTGTTGTTTTTTTATGTTGTGTCTGATCTGTATACATTGCATCTGTACCTAAATCAATGTAATCCAAGACATAATGAAGAGAATTATCAATATTTACCCTGATATATCCATAAGGTAATTTGTTAAGATCTTCTGTTGACAGTTGTAGCAGAACATCGGACCACTGAAGTAGAAATTGGTATAAAATAGTCTCAGACCTATGTATACTGTATAACAAGGTTTTATCAGATATCAAGACACCACGCTTAGCTACGAACTTCTGACATTGAATGATCTGACTCATACCAGTGATAGGAACCAAATCCATTTCTCTGAGGTGATAATCCAGGGCAGTTTAATTGCACCATTTTAGAAAACTCTGTGTTTGTCCTAAGATTACCCAATTCTCAACGCAAGCTTTTTCTGTAGGACCCTATGCACTAATGAAGAACAGCAAAAGCTAACCTGTTCACACTCAGCATCTGACAGGAAACTAAGGAATCAAACCTCAGTCTGTGCCTTGATAATCCACAATTCTACCAACTAACTCCATGAGTCACACTCCGTCAGCTGAGCAACACTGTTTAACACTATGTACATGCCATACTGATCTGATCGTTTTACAGTTTTTTATAAACACTTCACCAAGAAGGATTTCAATACAACTAAGTCTTGAGAAAGAAGCAGATATGTAGGGTTTATTTTAAATACTCTCTCTGTGGAGCATGTCTTTTTTTGCTCCATTTAATGACTGATCTGTTTAGTTAAAGGGTTTTGCATCCACTATTAAGTACTTTCGTCCCTAAGGACCCTATGAACTCAAGGCAGCTAGTAGCATAGACGGTCTCTTAGCAATTGAGCTAACTGGTCGTCTATGACCGACCAAGTCCACGTCCGCTGCAGTTGGTAAACGTCATTGATATATTCAGTACTCTATGCTGATTATCAGAAGACGTTTTAATTTGTCCACTGGTATGGAGTAAACTACCATGTCTTAAAAACCTTGAAACTTAACATTATTCAGTTATTGGTAGGAACACACGTGGTTTACGTCTCCTGCATCTGTTAATCGAGAAACAACTGTTGACCGAAATTCACACTTACCTCTCTAGGTATTTTGTCCCAGACTTTATTCACGAAGAATTTCGTCAGCTGGAAATTATAAACCCATTCGTACTCTACAAGAAATTTCAAGGCGAGTTTGTGATTGGAAGTTTCCATAATCTGTGTGATTCCGCTTGAGTCAGTGTGGTAACGTGTGTTTTCACGTGAGTCAATCAAATAAGTCATAAATACAGGTTTCTCGGTGTGTTATGTTTCAGGTACTGAAAGAAGTTGGTTATGCGACATGCTAGTGGGGAAAGTTAGCAGAAGAATTATTACAAGCGCCTGGCTGATGTAGATGGTGAATACTAATATATCAAGCCGGATAGTAATCCGGAAATATCTTATCTCAGTTCATTGATCGAATGTCACAGACTGTAACAGAAGTTTAATATCATTTGTTAACATTAATAGATGTTACTTCGTGATGTCACTTACCTAAAATTATCACTTACTTATATTTTGTTGAATACTAAATATTTCATTTAGTTTGATATTCAATTTAAGATGGGTGTAAACATACTGAGACGAACCCTCAGTTCGTTACCAAATAATTATATCGAAAATAACTCGTTTCAAAATAATAGCATAGTTTCGAAGTACTATTTGAAAATTGGGGTTATACTGACATTATTTTTATTTTTAATTTCCAGATTAAGAAAGATCGTCGATCCCCCGGTAGAACCATTTGGTAAATTTCCGATGACGTCACAAATGACATTATATATATATAAACAATAGTTTACTTTAAGGATGTACTCTTCTGAGAAGAAAAGAAAATTCTAGTTATATTCTTAAACGTTTGGTCTCTCTCTCTCTCTCTCTCTCTCTCTCTCTCTCTCTCTCTCTCTCTCTCTCTCTCTCTCTCTCTCTCTCTCTCTCTCTCTCTCTCTCCTCCCCCCCCTCTCTCTCTCTCTCTCCCTCTCTCTCCCTCCCTTCCTCCCCCACTCTCTCTCTCTCCCCCCCTCTCTCTCACTCTCTCTCCCCCCTCCTCATCCTCTCTCTCTCCCCCCCCCCCTCTCTCTCTCTCTCTGGGTAAGGATATGATACTTGGAGGTTTCGGGGAAAAATATGTGAAATGCTAAGTTTTCTTTTGAGATAACGAACTTAAAAACTGCATAGCGACCAAAAAATGAAGATGTTCTAAAGTGAATCAAATCCTTTATTTTACCATAATCTAGTATAGGCCATTTCAAACAGTTATGTTTATAAAGAGTAATCTTCAAGAAAACTTTTCATGATTAGAAAAGAGGGTGTCTCGGTGCTTTAATTTTTGCAATTTTTTTACCAAATAACCAGTTTTCCAAGAGCAAGAACCAAGATGAAATATTTGTTCTCGGACTCTAAAAATCCATGAAAATTGTCCAACTACACAAACTTTACGAATCTGAAAGCTGTGATTTGTGGTGAAAATTCATGCAACATTGATTTTCATTCTTTCGAAGATTTCCAGAATTAAACTCAAGGAAAGTACCTTGGCAACAGCAAACATGGATATTGTGCACGCTATTATTCGGATCTCGCCGTCAAAAATGTAACCCACGAATGAAATTTCTTCGAGACATCATGAAAATCGCTATTTTCAAGTTTATATTACGTACAGTTATAACAACGTGTCTAAGAACACCGACGACCAGATATTATGTTGAAATTCGTGTGATTGTTGAATTATTATTATTACTTCTGGATGTCGCGTCCTTCGAAATAACTGACCATCTGTACTCATATAAGAAGGTATGATCTTTTCATTCAACAGATACATTTTAACTGAAATGTAACATTTTTGTTTGTGATTTTTAACACGGATGTTTACGCTATCGCGGGTTGAAATTCGAAATAAGTCGATACCCCCTCCCACTTCTCTCTCTCTCTCTCTCTCTCTCTCTCTCTCTCTCTCTCTCTCTCTCTCTCTCTCTCTCTCTCTCTCTCTCTCTCTCTCTCTCTCTCTCTCTCTCTCTCTCTCTATATATATATATATATATATGTAATCATGGTTGTACGGGTCAACGAGTAAAAACCTACTAACTCTATATCAGTAACTTGATAAAATTACGCTTGATAAGCGCTAAGGGGATGAAACCCATAGTATCCAGTAGAAGGGGATGAAACCCATAGTATCCAGTAGAAGGGGACGTAATCCATAGCATCCAGTAGAAAGGAACGTAACCCATAGTATCCAGTAGAAAGGGACGTAACTCATAGTATCCAGTAGAAAGGGACGTAACTCATAGTATCCAGTAGAAAGGGACGTAACCCATAGTATCCAGTAGAAGGGGACGTAACCCATAGTAATCAGTAGAAGGGGGCGTAACTCATAATATCCAGTAGAAGGGGACGTAACCCATAGTATCAAGTAGAAGGGGACGTAACCCATAGTATCCAATAGAAAAGGACGTAACCCATAGTATCCAGTAGAAGGGGACGTAACCCATAGTATCCAGTAGAAAGGGACGTAACCTATAGGTAGCAGTACACAGTTTCTCGGTGTGGCCATGGGTGATTTTTTTGCTCATTAGAATACCCCATTATAAAGGTTTTAATTAAAAATGAAAAAAACATCCTTGCTAAAATTGGTCCTGTCATGTTAAAGTGGACAATGTGGGGTTTCATTTTTTTCAGGATAATATTTTAGCTTTGTGTTGGAGATTACTATTTGGGCAGTCTCGAATCTGTGTCTACGCACCAAAAACTAGCTTTACAGGAAGTGAAGTTTTCATAGTGTTTACATGTGGTCATGTTATGAAGAATTTCCGAGTTGGAATTTGCTGAAATGTAAGTACTTTGTTACCATGACAGTGTTGTTGATTGTAAGATAGGTGATTAGAATTAAATTTCTCCTAGAAAGTTGTAGTGTTAGGTTGGAATTAGCAGTATTTTGCATTTTTAGCATTTTTTCAGTAGGTAACCATGACAATCAAATGTCAGAAATCAGAGGAATTTTTTTTTACACAAATTTCATCTCTCTACTGTAAATGTAATTGTTATACAGTTTATAAATATATATACATGTAATGATGTATTTTTCATAACCAATCTGCTATACCTGTATATCTCAAACATGACAAATAATTTCAGGAAAAATGCAGTATCCAGTAGAAGGGGACGTTACCCATAGTATCCAGTAGAAGGGGACGTAACTCACAGTATCTAGTAGAAGGGGACGTAACTCATAGTATCCAGTAGAAGGGGACGTAACTCATAGTATCCAGTAGAAGGGGACGTATGTACATGGAGTCGTCTTGTTCATTGTGTATCCACACATTATATTACTATTATTATATTCCCAATTTATTGCTGGCCTCCAAAAGGGATTGTAAAGTTCTCTGCACATGTAACAGCTGGGTGCAATCATTAGTATGAAATGTGTGACAAATACAAAAAACATATTTTTTTTTTCATATTTCGTATTCAGTCTTTTAAGATAACAGGATGAAATTGTAGAATACAACGTAAAGCTCTCTATTTACTGGCAAGGTTCGGTGTCCTGCATAACATCAAACTATCGCTATCAATGTACTATCAATCATATTAAACCATTAAACAGTCTCTGTATGTTTTGTCTTATGTTTAGTTTCTGTGTGTTTCAGTTAGGTTTGTATCGTTCAACACCATTTTGGTATTTGCAAGAACTATTCTAACGTTCAATCCGTTTTTTAAACAAAAAGGGACGAAAAAGTAATGCTGACTAAAGATAGCGAGCTAATCTCTGACTGTTCATGTATGTAACCTATGTCGGTGTATTATGTATCCTATGTCGGTGTATTATATATCCTATGTCAGTGTATTATGTACCCTATATCGGTGAATTATGTATCCTATGTCGGTGTATTATGTATCCTATGTCGGTAAGTGTATTATGTATCCTATGTCGGTAAGTGTATTATGTATCCTATGTCGGTGTATTATGTATCCTATATCGGTGTATTATGTACCCTATGTCGGTGTATTATATATCCTATGTCGGTGTATTATGTACCCTATGTCGGTAAGTGTATTATGTATCCTATGTCGGTGTATTATGTATCCTATGTCGGTAAGTGTATTATGTATCCTATGTCGGTGTATTATGTATCCTATGTCGGTGTATTATGTATCCTATGTCGGTAAGTGTATTATGTATCCTATGTCGGTGTATTATGTATCCTATATCGGTGTATTATGTATCCTATGTCGGTGTATTATGTACCCTATGTCGGTGTATTATGTACCCTATGTCGGTGTATTATGTATCCTATGTCGGTGTATTATGTATCCTATGTCGGTGTATTATATATCCTATGTCGGTGTATTATATATCCTATGTCGGTAAGTGTATTATGTATCCTATGTCGGTGTATTATGTATCCTATATCGGTGTATTATATATCCTATGTCGGTGTATTATGTATCCTATATCGGTGTATTATGTATCCTATGTCGGTGTATTATGTATCCTATGTCGGTGTATTATGTATCCTATGTCGGTGTATTATGTATCCTATGTCGGTAAGTGTATTATGTATCCTATGTCGGTGTATTATGTATCCTATGTCGGTGTATTATTTACCCTATGTCGGTGTATTATGTACCCTATGTCGGTAAGTGTATTATGTATCCTATGTCGGTGTATTATTTACCCTATGTCGGTGTATTATGTACCCTATGTCGGTGTATTATGTATCCTATGTCGGTGTATTATGTATCCTATGTCGGTGTATTATATATCCTATGTCGGTGTTTTATGTATCCTATGTCGGTGTATTATATATCCTATGTCGGTGTATTATGTATCCTATGTCGGTGTATTATATATCCTATGTCGGTGTATTATGTATCCTATGTCGGTGTTTTATGTATCCTATGTCGGTGTATTATGTATCCTATGTCGGTGTATTATGTACCCTATGTCGGTGTATTATGTACCCTATGTCGGTGTATTATGTATCCTATGTCGGTGTATTATGTATCCTATGTCGGTGTATTATGTACCCTATGTCGGTGTATTATGTACCCTTTATCGGTGTATTATGTATCCTATGTCGGTGTATTATGTATCCTATGTCGGTGTATTATTTACCCTATGTCGGTGTATTATGTACCCTATGTCGGTAAGTGTATTATGTATCCTATGTCGGTGTATTATTTACCCTATGTCGGTGTATTATGTACCCTATGTCGGTGTATTATGTACCCTATGTCGGTGTATTATATATCCTATGTCGGTGTATTATGTATCCTATGTCGGTGTATTATGTATCCTATGTCGGTGTATTATTTACCCTATGTCGGTGTATTATGTACCCTATGTCGGTGTATTATATATCCTATGTCGGTGTATTATGTATCCTATGTCGGTGTATTATATATCCTATGTCGGTGTATTATGTATCCTATGTCGGTGTTTTATGTATCCTATGTCGGTGTATTATGTATCCTATGTCAGTGTATTATATATCCTATGTCGGTGTATTATGTATCCTATGTCGGTGTTTTATGTATCCTATGTCGGTGTATTATGTACCCTATGTCGGTGTATTATATATCCTATGTCGGTGTATTATATATCCTATGTCGGTGTATTATGTATCCTATGTCGGTGTATTATGTATCCTATGTCGGTGTTTTATGTATCCTATGTCGGTGTATTATGTATCCTATGTCGGTGTATTATGTACCCTATGTCGGTGTATTATTTACCCTATGTCGGTGTATTATGTACCCTATGTCGGTGTATTATTTACCCTATGTCGGTGTATTATGTACCCTATGTCGGTGTATTATGTACCCTATGTCGGTGTATTATTTACCCTATGTCGGTGTATTATGTACCCTATGTCGGTGTATTATATATCCTATGTCGGTGTATTATGTACCCTATGTCGGTAAGTGTATTATGTATCCTATGTCGGTGTATTATGTATCCTATGTCGGTGTATTATGTATCCTATATCGGTGTATTATTTACCCTATGTCGGTGTATTATATATCCTATGTCGGTGTATTATGTACCCTATGTCGGTGTATTATGTATCCTATATCGGTGTTTTATGTATCCTATATCGGTGTATTATATATCCTATGTCGGTGTATTATGTATCCTATATCGGTGTATTATGTACCCTATGTCGGTGTTTTATGTATCCTATATCAGTGTTTTATGTATCCTATATCGGTGTATGATGTATCCTATGTCGGTGTATTATATATCCTATATCGGTGTATTATGTATCCTATGTCGGTGTATTATGTATCTTGTTATAAACAATTATTTTCATGGTCTTGAATGCCCGAAACATGCCATTTTAGCACCACAAATTATAAATTGATGCATTTTTTGTATATAACTAAGAAAAGTAACCCATTATCTGAAATATGCAGAGGACATGTTCGAAAGAGAGTACGCGTTTTCTTGTGACATCAGTTTTCAATTTAGGTGATATTAACGATCTAATTGAGAAACCTAACTTTTCTCTGAGCGATGTAAAGCATGTCTTGTTTGATACTAATATCATGTGACATAAAATTTTCTCATTGGTATAGTCAATGAAAATCAATCAACTGTATAAGCCTTCAACATAATAGCAGAGGCCATATTTCGTAATTCCGCACAAGAAAACCGCTCCCGTGTCTAAATTTATGCAAACTCGGCTTGATCTTTCAAACGTTTGACGTTCGGTGAGCACGAAGAATCACGAATCACCATTCCGGGGATTCCGGTTTACCTCAAATTAAAGAAGAAAATGTAGGCGTCCAACTCTTGCTGTCGTTATAAGGTTTGTAGAGAGGTGTGTAGAATGTTTAATAGCAAGTGATGCATAATAGCTCTAATTGCAGGTGTGACTTACAGGCCTATCTCTGATTCGGTCACTTTGTGTTCCTGATCCCAGAATATGAAAGAATAGTTGCGAGCGCGAGGCAGCTGTCTAAAACATCACTTCCTTTTCTCGACACCTCAATATCTGTTATTACTATAAATTGTATTGGCTACTATGAGTTTCTGTCGTTTTCAAAGACGAGCAAAGCTTGTCAAGTTTTGAGATATCGACCAACAGTGGCTGTGAGGGTTTGTCCCGAACTTTATGTACACTATACTGCTGTGTCGATTCGGATTTGTTACCCAGTCCCCTTTCCAGTTTCATGAACTAGGATATTTCTAAAGATATAGATGATACACTATTTAAAAATTGAATTTTCATGCCATAATTACACCCGCACAATCATTTAAATTCTTACTTAACAATCAACTGTGGTACAAATGAGAGGATATGCAAAGTCAAGGACTAAGGAGACTGAAAGGGGAGTCAAGGCTAAGGGCAAACCTCAATAATGTTTTAATTTTAGAAATATATACATATACAAAATGGTGTATTCAGGGACCATTCAGTGGTATTATTTGCATTTCAAAATGACCACAAAATGTTCATTTTAGTGGAATCAGAAGAACAGAAATTTGCATAACTTATATTGACATTTTATTGACGAGGGAAAGGGGAATCTTATGAAGAAAATGGGAGATTTTTATGGAGGAGAAATGATGATAAAAGGCAGTAAAATGAAACTACATTGGGCCCTGTACAGATATACACTACATAACTGCTATCTCAATAGTAAGTCCATGTATACATAAAACCATGCTTTAGCAAATAAGGAAATATTTCTGTATGCAGTAGAAATAAAAGGATTGTCTTCAATGTAATGTGATCTCTATTACTATGCTTCGTCTACAAAATACAAATCCAGGTGGGTTCTTTAAAATGGAAGCATTAAGCATGAAAAATGTATGTACCACCACGGACTTATATAGTGTATATAAGTCCGTGGTACCACAAACTTGATGTAATACTTATACATGTAAAACATAGTGAGATGGGGACACTAATAATGAAGGCAACAATCAATAAATACTATTTTGCTTGCATCAATGTCTGACATTGAAGACAACAATGCATCTCTTCAGATAATTGTACTGAACACAAACATTTCAATTCAAGTGTTCTTCTAACCTGATACATACATATATAACCTGTCCCCTGGAATGTTCATCACCATACACGTATCTTTTGGATCAATTTTCAGGTTGGTAATCATATAATGACAATGGAATAGAAATTCTTATAACACAACCAGTAAAACCTAATGTACAAAACAGAGCATTGCTCAACTGACTACAGCACATTGTTACCATCTTGTGTTTTTTTTGGAGGGTGGGGGGTCTTTAATCTGTTTACAATCTTGTCACACTGTTTTAGACCTTAGTGTACATAGGATTATAGTACAGTTAAAAAAGGTGGTTGATTCTTTACCATCTTGTACACTACGTACGTCAGTGCAAGTACGCTCCACACTGGTCATTTGTCTGATGAAGGTGACTGTGTAGATCTCGTACACTATGTATGCCAGTGCTAGTACGCTCCACACCGGTCATTTGTCTGATGAAAATGACTGTGTAGATCTCGAACACTACATACGCCAGTGCTAGTACGCTCCACACTGGTCATTTGTCTGATGGGGGTGACGGTGTAGATCTCGCACACTACGTACGCCAGTGCTATTACGCTCCACACTGGTCATTTGTCTGATGACAATGACTGTAGATCTCATACACTATGTACGCCAGTGCTAGTATGCTCCACACTGGTCATTTTTCTGATGAAGGTGACTGTGTAAATCTCGTACACTACGTACGTCAGTGCTAGTATGCTCCACACTGGTAATTTTTCTGATGAAGGTGACTGTGTAAATCTCGTACACTACGTACGTCAGTGCTAGTATGCTCCACACTGGTCATTTTTCTGATGAAGGTGACTGTGTAAATCTCGCACACTACGTACGTCAGTGCTAGTACGCTCCACACTGGTCATTTGTCTGATGAACGTGAAATGCTACACTCTAATCTTCTACTGGTTGTGTTATAAGAACTTATATTCGATATACATATCTTTATTGCAATGAAACATAATTATTTCAGAAATTTGTGCAGATGTCAAATAAATAAAAGTAAGTTGTATCTAAATAGTATAGTGTAAATCTCTCTTGGATCTCCCAGGCATTGGATGAATGAGCAGAGAGATAAGAGAAAAACTTCATTTTTTTCAAATATGATAGGAAATGAATTCTGCCTTATATTGAGCATATTCATAGAAATTGATATTCTTTTTTCAATCAAAAACGTTAGATTTTGTACGGAATTATTTTCGTACCCTGTGTAACATATAATTTTTTATTCAGCTCGATAACCTGACAATATGCTGGCGTCAATCTCAAAAAGCAAAGATTGAAGACGTTCATTCAAAATTCTCCAAACATGGCTGCAGAGCTGTCCGTAGATCCTTTGGATCTAGCTCAATCTGGCGGATCTCCAAAACAAAATTCAACAGAACAACCAAAGACCTGGGATGTACTACGTCAGAATGTCCAAGAAAAAAGGAAACTTTTAGTAGCTTTAGTGAGCCATATACCAACGTCTTTTTCATTTCGGGTTGTAGACACTCCAACAGGCCAAAAAACTCGACTTTATTTTCTAGGTACACCACAAAAATGTCGAGAAAATACGTTAATGTATGCTGATTTGCCAAATGAAATAAGGGAGGTAACTCCTGTGCTGAACTGTAGGTCTTTATTAGACTCATTTCAACCATCACTTCCAAGTGCGCAATTGTCTAGAGAGGAACAGTTGATGAGAGAGAGAAAACGCCTCGGAATTTTTGGAATCACGTCCTATGATATGGTTGAAAATGAAGGAAAATTTGTTTTTCCAGCATGCAATTCACTTTTTGTGTGCATGGACCGTGATGTTATGGTAAGTGGTTAAGTTCCAGGTTTTGTTGAAATGTCAAAAGAATATGCACAAACAACAGACTGCACACAAAAACCATAAAACAGTTATTCAAAACACAGTATCTGAAAGATGTAATTTATCATCTGTAACATAAACATTTATCATTCTGTTCAAGAAATGAAGATGTTTTCTTTGCTTTCTTATCAATAAATGGGCCTGTTATAATTTTGATAAAGTACAGGAACCTTGCAAAAGGTGGTAAAATGGTGAATAATGAGGTCCTTCCACCACCGCCAAAGTGTCCTCAAGAAATATGGAAATAGATATATATATATATATATATGTAGGAAATTGCAGTTTGAGATATTTTATGAAACATGTAACTTTTGATGAAAAACCAAGTCAAGTCTGCTATGCACTATGTTTTATTATCAAAACATAAAAACCTGAGATACATACACAGGATTCCTGATAACTTGGGTACATACACAGGACTCCTGATAACTTGGGTACATACACAGGACTCCTGATAACTTGGGTACATACACAGGACTCCTGATAACTTAGGGTACATACACAGGACTCCTAATAACTTGGGTACATACACAGGACTCCTGATAACTTAGGGTACATACACAGTACTCCTGATAACTTAGGGTACATACACAGGACTCCTAATAATTTGGGTATATACACAGGACTCCTGATAACTTGGGTACGTACACAGGACTCCTGATAACTTAGGGTACGTACACAGGACTCCTGATAACTTAGGGTACATACACAGGACTTCTGATAACTTAGGGTACATACACAGGACTCCTGATAACTTGGGTACATACACAGAACTCCTGATAACGTAGGGTACATACACAGGACTCCTAATAACTTGGGGTTCATACACAGGACTCCTAATAACTTGGGTACATACATAGGACTCCTGATAACTTGGGTACATACACAGGACTCCTGATGACTTAGGGTACATACACAGAACTCATGATAACTTAGGGTACATACACAGGACTCCTAATAACTTGGGTACATACACAGAACTCCTGATAACTTGGATACATACACAGGACTCCTGATAACTTAGGGTACATACACAGGACTCCTAATAACTTGGATACATACACAGGACTCCTGATAACTTAGGGTACATACACAGGACTCCTGATAACTTGGGTACATACACAGGACTCCTCATAACTTAGGGTACATACAAATGTGTCCTGATAACTTAGAGTACATATGAATTTGATGATATCATTGGATACTTTTGTTTATGAATGAATTCTGAAATTTATCAGGAAGTTAATTTCATATATCTGATTTACCTCCCTTTGTAGTCAGAGGAGCTTAATATGTGTTATTAAACTCCTTTTTATAGTCAGAGGAACCTGTACTTCCACGAGCCATTAATACCAGTTGTTGTCGAGCTCGACTGGATCCAAAGATTTGTCCTCGCAACCCCAACCTCATCTCTTTTATCCATAGCAACGACCTCTGGGTCAGTAATCTCCAGACAGGACAGGAATGCAGACTCACGTTTGCTCATAAAGGCATGTATCACTTTATCATCACAAAAAGTTTCTCATTTTTTAAATCAATGTAAAGACTCCAGTAGGTCATCACGGTAATACTGAAGTTTACTTTATGCTATATTACTTTTGCTGATGGTCACTGTTTGACCAGAGAATCCCTGTTTTGGTTCGATATTCTGTCCGAATTAGCTCTATAAAACTCTAGCACAAAGTTAAATTCAGATAAATAATGATCCTTGACTTTTCAATAGTTTGATATCATTAAAAGAATGAAAATTGTTTTGTATGTCCATCCATTTGTTCGTTCATTGTCATTTTGTCCAGAGCAAAACACAAAAACTATAAGAGGTATCAACATGAAATTTCATAGGTAGATAGATCTGGATGAAGTCAAGTACAAAGTACAAGGACCATAACTCTTTTTGCATTGTTTGGGAATTAGTGCCCTTTGTTATTTTTCATCTTTAGATTTTGTCTCATTCAGGGAGCATAACCCTTCTCTGACGGCCCCTGTTTTCTGGAGTTTTCTATTGTATACTTTCTTCAGTGTTACTTGAATGTTTTTTTTTTGTCTAGGATTGAGTCGTCTAACAGATGACCCTATGAGTGCAGGTGTACCCTGTTTCGTAGTTCAAGAGGAATTTGACCGGTATACTGGATACTGGTGGGAGCCAAAGCCAAAAACTTCTAGTAACTTTGATCAGATGTCTCGTTATCGTATCCTGTATGAAGAAATTGATGAAAGTGGTGTGGAAATATTAAATATTTTTGCACCAATGACTGATACACAAGGGATTGACGAGTATCGATATCCCAGAGCTGGTAAGGGTTATCTCCACTTTTGATGCTATTAACAGACACAAAAAGCAGTGATATTTGTATGTGTTTTAGGTTGAATCAAGAGAAATATAAAAAAAATTATAGATGAGTCGAAAAACTTACAGGCACTGTGGGCTCTCACATAAAAAAATGTCACAGGTACTGTGGGTTCTCAAACAAAAGTCACAGGTACTGTGGGTTCTTACAGAAAAGTCACATTTACTGTGGGTTCTTACAGAAAAGTGACATTTACTGTGGGTTCTCACAGAAAAGTCGAAATCTCAAATACCGGAGTCATAAAATACTGTTAAAACTATGCTCTAGTAGATGTAAACATGATCTATCTCTCCATCATTGTGTACAGCTTTTGTATTTTCTGGATTGAATTATTCACTGTACAACTTAATCGATAGGAAGAAATCTGATGTGAATGTGTTGTTCTCAGATCATGTGTGTTCATTGATTTTATTCAGGAACAGACAATGCTGTGACTGCCCTGAAGCTTGTGGAGTTTGAAGTTGGGATTGATGGTCAGGTTTGTATCTCCCTGTAGTGATATAGGAGCCATTTTGTTATATGTAGGTTTTATTAAATTGAAGGTCATGAGGGTACAGTCCCTAATGTTATGAAAATAAGTACTCCTGGTCATTACAATAGTTATAGTTTATTTATTTTACAACAACTGTGAAGCAAGTTTTCCAAACTTATATCAATCACTCTTGTTTGCTCGGATGGAAACGCACGAGTGGTCTTAGTGTGGGAGGAAACCAGAATACCAGGAGAAAACCCACGTGGTCGGGCAGGTGACCCCATACCTTTTCACATCCATTCCGGGAATTGAACCCCGGATGGCTAGGTGAAAGGCGAGTGTGTTACCACTGTGCCACCCGACCACCCAATAGTTTAAAATGAGTTGCTGTATGATCTAACTCAGCACCTGTTGTCAGTATAGTGTGACTGCCTTACTTTTTGTCCAGTTGTAACTGCTATTTACGGTGTTGACAGATACAGGACAGTATGATAGAGAAGGAACTATATGAGCCATTATCCACTTTTTTCCCGTGGATGGAGTACCTGATTCGTGCTGGCTGGACACCTGACTCAAAATAGTAGGTCTTGCCTGATATGTAATCCAAAATCCAAAACAGATAAAATCTTGGGAGATGAAATTCATGAATCGTCTCGAAAAAGTATTGTTACTTCTCCGAAATGGTGGATAACCTGCAGTATTTCATGTAGTTATGATAAGTTTCACCAACATTTTCCAGTATATATCCATCCACATCGAGTAATCTTTTATCTTTTGTGGAAGTTTCAGAAAATTCTATTTTATATGTCTATAATACATGTAAATTACCCAGGTATCAGTGTCATCATAAGGATGGTTGTAATTAGAAAAAGTCAAGATCACAGGGTCAGAAGTCAAGATTTCTTATTGTCTTAAGTAACCAAATACTGTAATCAATTACATGTATGGATGGTAGAATGGAATGTACAGAAAGTAGGTTACTGTGACCTACACATCACATCAAAAGGTCATGATATCACACCAATATATAGGCGAGGAAGCACAGAATTCTGAATAAGTTCATGTTTCTGATGTTTACAGTAGCTTGTGTATGGTAACAACTGACATTTGAACTGGATTTGTTACAGCGTTTACGTACAGATCATGAACAGACAGCAGACACGCTTAGCACTGGTGTTGATACCACTAGAGTGTTTTATCCCGGTGACCTCTGAACCAGACATGGAGCTCAACTACTATTATGAATGCACCAATAATTATCCCCCCTTGCAAGTTATATATGAGGACACATCCGACATCTGGGTCAATGTAAGTAGAAATTTTATACTAGTTATAATGGATAATTCTGTATCTCACATCTCATAATATTACAGGTCCTACCTTGAAATTTCACACATAGTTGGCTTGATAGCAATGGATTGCCTATTTGTGTGTTGTAGTATTTGAAGATACTTCATGATGTTGTGAGAAGGTTAAGATGTATAGTATTAGGAGTAAAAACAATGCATCATAGACAAAACCAGCACACAAAGAATAAATAAGTTTTGATGATATTATTGGACAGCATGGATTTTAAAAGTAATTTCAATTCTTTATATTCTTTATAGGTGCACGACATCCTCCACTTTTTCCCACAAGAAAATGTGGAGGAGATTTCCTTCTTGTGGTCAACAGAACAGACGGGATACCGACACCTGTACAAGGTGACCTCCAAACTACTTACCTGTGATAATCCCTCGCCACGCAGTGCCATGGAGGTCATTGACAACAGTCATGGTGGGTACATTTGTCAGGTAGAAACAAAAATCACATATGTATAAAAACGTGCAGTTGATACAAATGTGTATTGAAAATGATGACAGCCTTCTTTTAAAAACTGGCTATTACACTGAAAGTTGATTCTTAATAAATTTAGGATCTTGAATGTGTTTTCATTTAATGACATTTTATTATATAAATTTTTTTTTTTTTTTTTTTGAGAACCTCGGCAAACAAAAAATAAAACTTGGTTTGTTTTGACAGGCCAGCTCAAGGCTGACATAGCTGAACAGGTGGCCTTGACCTGTGGAGAATGGGAAATTCAAGGAAAACAGGTAAATGTATAAAACAGTAAACACATGTTTATGTAATTGTAAAATTGCTTTATTTTATGCCTGTAAAGTGGTATGAAACTTCAGACAAGATTCCAGAGTAAAAGTGATCTGTTCAAAGGAGTTTGCATTGAATTCATTATATGTGTTTGGGATTTCACTTGGTGTAGTTACAATGTTGGTTCTGAAAGGGAAAATGTAAACAAAAACTCTGTAGTTTTACTATTCATGGTCAAGCCCTTTCCTTTCTTGTCCAGTTCTGTCTCTAGGGACCAATAGAAATATAAACTTCTATTATTCAGATTTATTTTCAGTTATTAGTCTGCCACACGTTTTTTGTCATATCAGCAAAGAGTGAAATGATGGCAGCTTAAACGACAGCTTAAACGACAGCTTAAACGGCAGCTTAAACGACAGCTTAAACGGCAGCTTAAACGGCAGCTTAAATGACAGCTTAAATGACAGCTTAAACGACAGCTTAAACGACAGCTTAAACGGCAGCTTAAACGGCAGCTTAAACGACAGCTTAAACGACAGCTTAAATGACAGCTTAAATGACAGCTTAAACGACAGCTTAAACGACAGCTTAAACGGCAGCTTAAACGGCAGCTTAAACGGCAGCTTAAACGACAGCTTAAACGACAGCTTAAATGACAGCTTAAATGACAGCTTAAACGACAGTGACAATCTTCTTGTATACAGTCATTGTTTAATGCCACAAAAGGGATTTACTATGTTACATTTAAGAAATGATCTTGCTGAGATTTTGTGAAAATTGGTCTTTTCAGATCTGGGTTGATGAAAAGAGAAGCCTTGTGTATTTTCTTGGCCATAAGGATTCTGTATTAGAAACTCACTTGTAAGTATGCAGGTAAATCCTGCCATGTTGTAGTACTGTAGTATACCAGCTGTACAGCCAGGTTGTACTATACCTTGAAATAAGTCCTTCAACTGTGATGTTTACTGGCAGTAAATTAACAGAATCTTAATATTATGGTTGAATTAGTCTGATAAGATGACCTTGTATATACGTCTTTCAGTATAATTACGGACCAATGCTATTTCATTTTTCTTCAATATCCCTAGTGTTCACTCAGAGTCAGGATTTGTTTGTTTGCCCTATAGTTGAAGTAACAGTCATTTGTTTTAGTTCAACTGTGTAAATTCTGTCCACAAGTTTCAATAGATCATAACAATGGATAATTCTTATTTTCCATGACACTGATGATAGTTGGTCTACAGCTAAACATCAGTCTGTTTATGGTATCTAAAATTTGTGTGGAACAAACTTTAAATTTTCTTGAAAAGATGAAAATTTCATTAGCATTTTACAAATTCCTACAAAGGCTTGTAACATCCATCAGAGAAAAAGACAAAAGTTTAAGGTTTTAAAGTTGTTATTTTGTGCAGTTTTACCAATTCTATTTATAGATATGCTGTGTCATATTTATCACCAAAAGAGCCGTATCTACTGACAGAACTTGGCTACTCTCATAGTGTCTCCTTTAGCTCCGTGAGTATATAATGTCCCAGTCCTTCAGTTATGTAGGTATATAATGTCCAAGTCCTTCAGTAGGTATATAATGTCCAAGTCCTTCAGTTATGTAGGTATATAATGTCCCAGTCCTTCAGTTATGTAGGTATATAATGTCCCAGGCCTACAGTTTTGTAGGTGTATAATGTCCCAGTCCTTTAGCTCCGTAAGTATATAATGTCCACGTCCTTCTGTTATGTAGGTATATAGTCCCAGTCCTTCAGTTATGTAGGTATATAATGTCCAAGTCCTTCAGTTATGTAGGTATATAATGTCCAAGTCTTCAGTTCTGTAGGTATGTAATGTCCCAGTCCTTTAGCTCTTTTAGTATACAGTGTCCCTGTCCTTCAGTTCTGTAGGTATGTAATGTCCCAGTCCTTTAGCTCTTTTAGTATACAGTGTCCCTGTCCTTCAGTTCTGTAGGTATACAATGTCCCAATCCTTCAGTTCAGTAAGTATCTAATGTCCCAGTCCTTCAATTGTGTAGGTATCCAATGTCCCAGTCCTTCAGTTGTGTAGGTGTATAATGTCACAGTCCTTCAGTTATGTAGGTATATAGTCCCAGTCCTTCAGTTCTGTAAGTATATAATGTCCCAGTCCTTTAGCTCCGTAAGTATATAATGCCCCAGTCTGTCAGAACTTGACTTTAGCATAAGGCTGTATGACCAACTAAACACTTACATTAGGGTTGAAATGTCCCAATCCACATAACAGACCCATGTTTGATTTTTTGTCAATACTAATAAAAAAGCAATGAAATTTATAAGTTGTGAAACCTATCCATCATCAATATTTCTTGAATCTTGAATCAATTTATGAAATGGTTACACTACATAAATTGATAAGACAACCCTAATGTAAGTCATAGCATCTGGCATTAGACACAACCTTTCTGAAGAATAATCAAAACAGTGACAGAGAAATACTAAACAGGAAAATGGAAGGCAAAGGTGAATTTTTTTCAGTACTAGCTCAGTATTTACATATTATCTGTTACCACAATGGTCTACATTTGTGATCTAGATGAAAATATTTTTATATTTATCGTTCTGTCACCATTTTAGGAATTGTCTTCATTTGTGACGGTGTACAGTTCGGTACAACAGACACCAATCAGTAGTGTCCATCGTGTCTGTCACCGTGACAACGGTCAGATGTATACAGAGACGGTGGGAATAGTCATGCCTTCTGTTGGTAAGTATTCATATGTATTGGTATTACCTGTAATTTCTCTCAAGGTTATTGGTATCATATAGAAAACATCTTCAAAGGACAAATATGTGTCTACAAATGTGAAAACTGAGGGCAAAGTTTAGCTAATTTGGACCTGTACTGGAGAGCACTTTCTGGGGGAAAGATATTTTTTCACAAATGTAAAAGCTAAAAACATCTTGATGTCCTTATCATTTTACAGGGGTGGGGGAGCTTAGTAAATCAGGCCAATGTAGGTTGGATCATTTTTTTAGACTCTGTATTGTGAAAAACTTACTGACACAATTTTTACTTACAAAATGTATTTTATATTGGAAATGTGATGATTGCTATGTTGACTTTTGATAACATGGTATCTGGAGGATAATTATATCTCTGACTGATACGGTTTAGAATAAATACAGGTAGTTAATTTTTTTAAATCATCCAGTATTGAAAAGTATTAATTGAATTATAGAGTTAGGGCCCTACCCACCATGTATGCTGACATTTATTTTGGTCAATTTTCATTCTCCTCTATGGCCCCCTAACATTATAGGGTACTACCATCAGTGATGAGACCTGGAAATGTGACATCTGTATGAGGTTCGTTCATTACATGGCTATACAGTATCTAATTCCAATCACATGACTGTATCAAGTTTCTATTCTCCTTTAAATATGTCCTGAATTAAACACCCTCGTTTCCAGCCTGCCCGGAGTATCATCCGCCCAGCCTGTTCAGCTATACCAGTGTGTGTGGACAGACCATGCATGGCTTGTACTACAAACCTCATAACTTCCAGCCACGTGTAAAGTACCCAACAGTCTTGATGGTGTACGGAGGCCCACAGGTTCAACAGGTCACCAACTCCTTCAAAGGTCTCAGGTACATTTGCCACTTATTGTATACAGGTACTGTAGTATCTTGGACAAAAGCGACTCATTGTTTTATGTTACATAAATATAGTATTTCAGCTCCTTTGGGGTGTGGTAGGGGATCTCAACCTTGGGGAGAAGATTATTCAATTGCCAAACCTTGCTGAGGGTTTATAACGCTAATCTTTCCCAAAATCTCAAAAAAAAGGGGGAATCAGTGTCTTAACAATTAGTCAAGACAAGGAAATCTGGAAGTGTGAATATACCTGTCCAGCCCAAGGAAAAATAAAATGATTTCTGTGTAAGGTTAGATAATTTTTTAAAATTAGTTCTGATAGCAACAAAGCATCATAGATGTTATGGAAAATTTTAATTTGAAAAACACAACGTGCTCAGATTAGGTTGTAAAAACAGTTTCTTAGAGCTTTGAGTGTTTATATATCTTTATCGTATGTACAGCTTTCTGTGGTGTAGTTGATTCCAATCAATGTAGATATAGTGTAGTCAGTTGATGAATAACCAGGAGAAAGTTTGTTGTCAACTTCTAAATCACAGAGCCAGTCTTGACAATAAACTCTTACACTGCTTTTCAGATCGTTTGAGGTAAAACAATTTATTTGTTTGATAATGTTTGTATCATTGTGGGTGACTGGAAGAAATTTTGAAATTTGTTTTATAATTGTTGTAAATGAAGTTGACTAAATCCGAGTTGTGTTTGTACTACAGATTTCTGAGGCATCACACATTGGCTTCACAGGGTTACGCTGTGGTTGTTATCGACGGCCGGGGGTCCAGTCATCGTGGACTAGACTTTGAAGCCCATATTAAGAAAAGACTGGTAAGATAAACTCCTCCCTAACATATCCCTGACTACAATTGATTGTTCCACATAGAAATATGTGTCTGAGGGGGCCAGGATGGACACTCCAACCTCTCTCTCTCTCTCTCTCTATATATATATATATATATATATAATTTTAAACATGTTGTGATAGGAAATGTAAAGGAGTTACCAAGATATTTGCAATGTTTTACCCATAGTTACACTTGTCATTCCTTCTGCCTGTCAATAACACAACATTACGATGTTTGACGTTGCTCAGGGTACTGTAGAGATAGAGGACCAGGTAGAGGGACTACAGTGGCTTGCCTCACAGGTGGATTTTATAGATATGGAGCGAGTGGCCATTCACGGCTGGTCTTATGGTAGGTGATCAGCAATTTTTCCAGTGTTCTAAAAGTTTCAAAACCTATAAATAATTATTTCTTCAATCTTTTAGTAATGTCAATAAAGTCTGTTTGCATGATTTCAGTGAGATATAAAGTAGTTTTAACACATCACGTTATACTATACAAATTGATGTATAATCGACAGTTATCTTATTTAATAATTATATTTAGTTTGTAATAACAGTTGGTTAGAGATATCAAGTATTTATAACACATCATGTTATGCTTTGTAATTAATCTACAGTAATAAATCTGATCACCTATTGATTAATTGTATGTTTACCATCATCAGATGGTAGGCTATTTAAATCGCTCTGCGTCCGTGATCTGTCCATTTGGGTCCCTCCATTAAGAATTTTTGTTAATTGATATTTCTTGAAAAGTCCTGGATGAAGTTTCCTCAAATTGCATATGTTGGTTCCCCTTAATTTGTAGTTGTGCCTGTTCAATTATGGGTGTGATCAGCAAAAAAAAAATTGCTAAAAGGTGGCCATCTTGGATTTTGGCTAGTAAAGATTGTTATTGCCATTATTTAAGAAGTACTGAATGAAAATCTCTCAAATTTTATACGTATGTTTCCTTTGGTCTCTCTTTGTGCTCATTTGATTTTGGGACTGATCAAAAGAAACAAAATGGCTTCCAGATGGCCATTTTGGATTTTGTAGGTAAAGATTATCATTGCAATTTCTGCAAAGGAATGTTCAAATGTCTTATCATTAAGAGCAAAAACAGAGAAGAGAAAAGAAGGGAAAAGATCCATCTTTTAAAGAGCATAAAAAGATCAAACAATGGTGGGTGCACAAAGATCCCTGTGGTATTTCTTGTTGTTTCATGTAAACAATTAAATTAATATTGTGATTTTACCATAGATTAACAGAAACATGACATGAATCCCAAAAAGTTATTCAATAGTTAATTTGATAATAGATTCTGCTGAAATTAATTTAGATAACATTTCTAAATATAGCTTGATATTTTAAGAAATAGCTGCTGTACTTGTCATGTTGGTGAATGCTTTAGCAGATGAATTTTGTAAAGTGTATAATTACCTTATGTTACAGGCGGCTATCTGTCTCTCCTTGGTTTAGCCCAGAGGCCAGATATATTCAAGGTAAACCTAATCATATTTCCTTCTTTATAATAATTTTATTTCGTTTTTTTTTTGTGATAAATAAATAAAAATTATCCATTTAGCTCCCTGTTTGTATTCTGATTAATATGGAGTGATTTTTAATGAATCTATTACAAGATAAAAATACATCAACTGAAAGTATTCTCAACATTAACAAACTTCACACAATAAGTAGTTAATATACTTTTATTGCTAGCCAACCAGTTTTACTATTTACAACACGTGTTGGCATAGTTACAAGAATTAAACCTAACTATACCATGACACGCTGTAACTGGTGAAACCAGTCAGCCAGCAATAAAAGTTAACTACTTATTGTGTCAAGTTGGTTAATGTTGAGAGCACATTTACCTCGTGTCTTGTTATTTTAACTATTGAGTGACTTCCTGCATAACTTACAGTATCAATTCAACTACCTATGAACCATACCTATATATTGGATCGGTGTTGGCTCTTCCACCTCCCCCCCTTCACCCCCCCCCCTGTCTTTTTGTTTTTATAAGATTATGCTACAAACACACATATTTTATGGGTAATATTTTTTGGTCTACTACAGTGTCTGTATGATGTTTTTATAGCAAATTGTTTTTGTAAATATGTATATTCCTTTTTACCCTTATCAGTAAAAATGTCATGTGCTAAAATTTGACTGCAGTTAATCATATATGTTTATGGTATACAAAAGAAATGGCTCTACCTGACAGGTTGCTATTGCGGGGGCACCGGTAGTTGACTGGAAACTATACGACACTGGCTACACAGAACGGTACCTAGACATCCCAAAGAATAATTCCAACGGATACCAAAAGGGATCTGTGTTACATTACATACAGAGCTTCCCTGATGAGTAAGTTATCTCCCATTCCTCACTCTGATTTACGGATTTTACAGACATGTGTAATATTTGAAATTACTGTACATTGTGAATTTATCTGTCAATAAGCCCAGGTCTGGTAATAAACAAGGCAGGGGCTATCAGCAGATTTACCACCAAATGGTTTTCCTTGTCTTTAGATAAGTCCACCCAGAAGTCAGAGGTGTTTATTGTAGAATAAATGTTGTTCTCAAAGAGGATTTACATTTCCAAATGTGCACTAGCAGCCCAATCAAAACACAACTTGAGATCAAAATAATTTTAACACTGCATATTGATGTTAAAAAAACCACACCATTTTATATCTCTCTGTGCTTTACATGTTTTATATCTCTCTCTGCTTTACATGTTTTATATCTCTCTGCTTTACATGTTTTATATCTCTGTGCTTTACATGTTTTATATCTCTCTGTGCTTTACATGTTTTATATCTCTCTGTGCTTTACATGTTTTATATCTCTCTGTGCTTTACATGTTTTATATCTCTCTGTGCTTTACATGTTTTATATCTCTCTCTGCTTTACATGTTTTATATCTCTGCTTTACATGTTTTATATCTCTCTGTGCTTTACATGTTTTATATATCTCTCTGCTTTACATGTTTTATATCTCTGTGCTTTACATGTTTTATATATCTCTCTGCTTTACATGTTTTATATATCTCTGTGCTTTACATGTTTTATATCTCTCTGTGCTTTACATGTTTTATATCTCTCTGTGCTTTACATGTTTTATATCTCTCTGCTTTACATGTTTTATATCTCTCTGCTTTACATGTTTTATATCTCTCTGTGCTTTACATGTTTTATATCTCTGTGCTTTACATGTTTTATATCTCTCTGCTTTACATGTTTTATATCTCTCTGCTTTACATGTTTTATATCTCTCTGCTTTACATGTTTTATATCTCTGTGCTTTACATGTTTTATATCTCTCTCTGCTTTACATGTTTTATATCTCTGTGCTTTACATGTTTTATATCTCTCTGTGCTTTACATGTTTTATATCTCTCTGCTTTACATGTTTTATATCTCTCTGTGCTTTACATGTTTTATATCTCTCTGCTTTACATGTTTTATATCTCTCTGTGCTTTACATGTTTTATATCTCTCTCTGCTTTACATGTTTTATATCTCTGTGCTTTACATGTTTTATATCTCTGTGCTTTACATGTTTTATATCTCTCTGCTTTACATGTTTTATATCTCTCTCTGCTTTACATGTTTTATATCTCTGTGCTTTACATGTTTTATATCTCTGTGCTTTACATGTTTTATATCTCTCTGTGCTTTACATGTTTTATATCTCTCTGTGCTTTACATGTTTTATATCTCTGTGCTTTACATGTTTTATATCTCTCTGCTTTACATGTTTTATATCTCTCTCTGCTTTACATGTTTTATATCTCTGTGCTTTACATGTTTTATATCTCTCTGTGCTTTACATGTTTTATATATCTCTGTGCTTTACATGTTTTATATCTCTCTGCTTTACATGTTTTATATCTCTGTACATGTTTTATATCTCTGTGCTTTACATGTTTTATATCTCTGTGCTTTACATGTTTTATATCTCTCTGTGCTTTACATGTTTTATATCTCTCTGCTTTACATGTTTTATATCTCTCTGCTTTACATGTTTTATATCTCTTACATGTTTTATATCTCTCTGTGCTTTACATGTTTTATATCTCTCTGCTTTACATGTTTTATATCTCTCTGTGCTTTACATGTTTTATATCTCTCTGTGCTTTACATGTTTTATATCTCTCTGTGCTTTACATGTTTTATATCTCTGTGCTTTACATGTTTTATATCTCTCTGTGCTTTACATGTTTTATATCTCTCTCTGCTTTACATGTTTTATATCTCTCTGCTTTACATGTTTTATATCTCTGTGCTTTACATGTTTTATATCTCTCTGTGCTTTACATGTTTTATATCTCTCTGTGCTTTACATGTTTTATATCTCTCTGCTTTACATGTTTTATATCTCTCTGTGCTTTACATGTTTTATATCTCTCTGTGCTTTACATGTTTTATATCTCTCTGTGCTTTACATGTTTTATATCTCTCTCTGCTTTACATGTTTTATATCTCTCTGCTTTACATGTTTTATATATCTCTGTGCTTTACATGTTTTATATCTCTCTGTGCTTTACATGTTTTATATCTCTCTGTGCTTTACATGTTTTATATCTCTCTGTGCTTTACATGTTTTATATCTCTGTGCTTTACATGTTTTATATCTCTCTGTGCTTTACATGTTTTATATCTCTCTGTGCTTTACATGTTTTATATCTCTGTGCTTTACATGTTTTACATGTTTTATATCTCTCTCATGCTCTCTACATGTTTTATATCTCTCTGTGCTTTACATGTTTTATATCTCTCTGTGCTTTACATGTTTTATATCTCTGTGCTTTACATGTTTTATATCTCTCTGCTTTACATGTTTTATATCTCTCTGTGCTTTACATGTTTTATATCTCTCTGTGCTTTACATGTTTTATATCTCTCTGTGCTTTACATGTTTTATATCTCTCTGCTTTACATGTTTTATATCTCTGTGCTTTACATGTTTTATATCTCTCTGTGCTTTACATGTTTTATATCTCTCTGTGCTTTACATGTTTTATATCTCTGTGCTTTACATGTTTTATATCTCTCTGTGCTTTACATGTTTTATATCTCTGTGCTTTACATGTTTTATATCTCTCTGTGCTTTACATGTTTTATATCTCTCTGTGCTTTACATGTTTTATCTCTCTGTGCTTTACATGTTTTATATCTCTCTGTGCTTTACATGTTTTATATCTCTCTGTGCTTTACATGTTTTATATCTCTGTGCTTTACATGTTTTATATCTCTGTGCTTTACATGTTTTATATCTCTCTCTGCTTTACATGTTTTATATCTCTCTGTGCTTTACATGTTTTATATCTCTCTCTGCTTTACATGTTTTATATCTCTCTGTGCTTTACATGTTTTATATCTCTCTGTGCTTTACATGTTTTATATCTCTGTGCTTTACATGTTTTATATCTCTCTGTGCTTTACATGTTTTATATCTCTCTGTGCTTTACATGTTTTATATCTCTCTGTGCTTTACATGTTTTATATCTCTCTGTGCTTTACATGTTTTATATCTCTCTGTGCTTTACATGTTTTATATCTCTCTGCTTTACATGTTTTATATCTCTCTGTGCTTTACATGTTTTATATCTCTGTGCTTTACATGTTTTATATCTCTGTGTGCTTTACATGTTTTATATCTCTCTGTGCTTTACATGTTTTATATCTCTCTGTGCTTTACATGTTTTATATCTCTGTGCTTTACATGTTTTATATCTCTGTGCTTTACATGTTTTATATCTCTGTGCTTTACATGTTTTATATCTCTCTGTGCTTTACATGTTTTATATCTCTCTCTGCTTTACATGTTTTATATCTCTCTGTGCTTTACATGTTTTATATCTCTGTGCTTTACATGTTTTATATCTCTCTGCTTTACATGTTTTATATCTCTGTGCTTTACATGTTTTATATCTCTCTGGCTGATGTTTTATAGACATGTTTTATCTCTCTGTAAAACATGAAGCTTATGTCTTATAAATATTTCTTTTAGTTCAGAATTGTTTTTTTTCCATTACAGAGAGAATCGACTGCTGGTGATCCATGGATTAATTGATGAGAATGTTCACTTCCAGCACACTAGTACACTAATAAATGCTTTAGTGAAGGCATGCAAGCCTTACAGCCTCCAGGTTAGTCTTAGAAAAAACTAGATAAGTCTTACAGTTCCCAGGTAAGTCTTACAGTCCCCAGATAGGTCTTATAGTCCCAGATAATCCTTACAGTCCCCAGATAATCCTTCAGTCCCCAGATAGGTCTTATAGTCCCCAGATAGGTCTTATAGTCCCCAGATAATCCTTCAGTCCCCAGATAATCCTTACAGTCCCCAGATAATCCTTACAGTCCCCAGATAATCCTTACAGTCCCCAGGTAAATCTCAAATTAAGTCTGAAGCCTCTTGGTAAACCTATAACAGAAACGGAAAAACATTACAATTTCTTGTGGAACAAAACATTCTTCATCACAATTTTACCACTCACACCACCTTAGTCCCATTACTTACCTCAATCTCTACCTTAGTCCCATTACTTACCTCTATCTCTACCTTAGTCCCATTACTTACCTCTATCTCTACCTCAGTCCCATTACTTACCTCTATCTCTACCTTAGTCCCATTACTTACCTCTATCTCTACCTCAGTCCCATTACTTACCTCTATCACCACCTCAGTCCCATTACTTACCTCTATATCTACCTCAGTCCCATTACTTACCTCAATCTCTACCTTAGTCCCATTACTTACCTCTATCTCTACCTTAGTCCCATTACTTACCTCTATCTCTACCTTAGTCCCATTACACACGTCTATCTCTACCTTAGTCCCATTACTTACCTCTATCTCTACCTTAGTCCCATTACTTACCTCTATCACCAACTAAGTCCCATTACTTACCTCTATATCTACCTCAGTCCCATTACTTACCTCTATATCTACCTCAGTCCCATTACTTACCTCTATCTCTACATCAGTCCCATTACTTACCTCTATATCTACCTCAGTCCCATTACTTACCTCTATATCTACCTCAGTCCCATTACTTACCTCTATCTCTACCTTAGTCCCATTACTTACCTCTATCTCTACCTTAGTCCTATTACTTACCTCTATCTCTACCTTAGTCCCATTACACACGTCTATCTCTACCTTAGTCCCATTACTTACCTCTATCTCTACCTTAGTCCCATTACTTACCTCTATCACCATCTTAGTCCCATTACTTACCTCTATATCTACCTCAGTCCCATTACACACGTCTATCTCTACCTTAGTCCCATTACTTACCTCTATCTCTACATCAGTCCCATTACTTACCTCTATATCTACCTCAGTCCCATTACTTACCTCTATATCTACCTCAGTCCCATTACTTACCTCTATCTCTACCTTAGTCCCATTACTTACCTCTATATCTACCTCAGTCCCATTACTTACCTCTATCACCACCTCAGTCCCATTACTTACCTCTATATCTACCTTAGTCCCATTACACACCTCTATCTCTACCTCAGTCCCATTACACACCTCTATCTCTACCTTAGTCCCATTACACATGTCTATCTCTACCTCAGTCCCATTACTTACCTCTATATCTACCTCAGTCCCATTACTTACCTCTATCACCACCTCAGTCCCATTACTTACCTCTATATCTACCTTAGTCCCATTACACACCTCTATCTCTACCTCAGTCCCATTACACACCTCTATCTCTACCTTAGTCCCATTACACATGTCTATCTCTACCTCAGTCCCATTACTTACCTCTATCTCTACCTCAGTCCCATTACTTACCTCTATCTCTACCTCAGTCCCATTACTTACCTCTATCTCTACCTTAGTCCCATTACACACCTCTATCTCTACCTTAGTCCCATTACACACCTCTATCTCTACCTTAGTCCCATTACTTACCTCTATCTCTACCTCAGTCCCATTACTTACCTCTATCTCTACCTTAGTCCTATTACACACCTTTATCTCTACCTTAGTCCCATTACTTACCTCTATCTCTACCTTAGTCCCATTACTTACCTCTATCTCTACCTTAGTCCCATTACTTACCTCTATCACCATCTTAGTCCCATTACTTACCTCTATATCTACCTCAGTCCCATTACTTACCTCTATATCTACCTCAGTCCCATTACTTACCTCTATCTCTACCTTAGTCCCATTACACACCTCTATCACTACCTTAGTCCCATTACACACCTCTATCACCACCTTAGTCCCATTACACACCTCTATCTCTACCTCAGTCCCATTACTTACCTCTATCTCTACCTCAGTCCCATTACTTACCTCTATCTCTACCTCAGTCCCATTACTTACCTCTATCTCTACCTCAGTCCCATTACTTACCTCTATCTCTACCTCAGTCCCATTACACACCTCTATCTCTACCTTAGTCCCATTACACACCTCTATCTCTACCTCAGTCCCATTACTTACCTCTATCACCACCTTAGTCACTGTAATCTATTGGAACAGTATCCTTTTCTTGATTGATAGATACAAACATGCAATATATTTCAGTGACTGCTCATAGGAAATAAATTAGGAAATGAACTACTTGACAGTCCACTGTTATCAATAACCAGATATTGAATTCTGCCAAGGATTGTAACCATAAATAAACCAGAAAGTTTTTCTGTGAGAAATGGAAAATATTTGTTAACACTGTGAGGGTGTAAATAGGAACATACTGCAGGCTATGATGAATCAGAAATATATCCTACTGTCTTACTGTTTTATTTACAGGTGTACCCAAATGAGCGACATGGAATCCGTAACCACGAGTCTGCAGAACACTACAAAACAATGATACTGAGTTTTCTTCAGAATCATATATAGCAGAACTGTCACCTGTTTTCTGTGAAAACTTTTCATTCTGTTTAGTCTTTAAAGTGTTGCTATGGAAAATATCTTGGTCTTGAAGGTTTTGTTTCGAGAACAGCCCCCAAATTAAAAAATGAGATGAAATTTGAATATCTAGCATAAAATGCATTTTTTGTTTGCATGTGTGTGTAGGGGGATGGGGTGGTGTGTAGGGGGATGGGGTGGTGTGTAGGGGGATGGGGTGGTGTAGGGGGGGTTGGGGTGGTGTGTAGGGGGATGGGGTGGTGTGTAGGGGGGATGGGGTGGTGTAGGGGGATTAGGGGGATGGGGTGGTGTAGAGGGGGGTTGGGGTGGTGTGTAGGGGGATGGGGTGGTGTGTAGGGGGATGGGGTGGTGTGTAGGGGGATGGGGTGGTGTGTAGGGGGATGGGGTGGTGTAGGGGGGATGGGGTGTGTGTAGTGGCATGGGGTGGTGTAGGGGGGATGGCGTTGTGTGTAGTTGGCATGGGGTGGTGTAGGGGGGGATGGCGTTGTGTGTAGGGGGGATGGCGTTGTGTGTAGGGGGGGATGGCTTTGTGTGTAGGGGGGATGGGGTGGTGTAGGGGGGGATGATGGCGTTGTGTGTAGTTGGCATGGGGTGGTGTAGACTGGATTAGATGTGGTAGACTGGACTAGATGTGGTGTGGGTTGGAAATGTTTTAGTGGGCGGAGGTCATAGGAGTAATGAGAAAGGGTAAGAATGAGAAAAGGAAAGACTGAGAAAGGGTAAGGCCATGTTGTATGGGATTCTATATGAAATTTTTGGAGAATAACAAAAATAATCTCTCCGTTTGAATCATGGTCCTGGCAGAATGATTACATGAACTGCTCCAGTCTTGATCATGGGCCTGTGTGTTGTAAAACAAAAAAATCTCCACTCCGATTTAAATCTCCCAGAAACAGCTTCTGACATGGTACTTTGATAAACAGAATGTGACGGAGAACCTGATTTGGACTTTTGATCCACAAAACTTTTATCATAGGAATACTATAAAATCATGTTTTGTGGATTTTTTAAATGATAATTTTTCTTACTCTCTACATTTTGTAGCTAGACCATTCTAAAAATTAGACATTAACTATTAACATTGAACCATGAACATCTAAATTTGTGGATGAAGAGTCCCACAAAATCATTTAAAATAAATAAGATTTAAAATCCAAACTTTTTTTCGTTTTAGATGAGTAAGTGTTTAATATTCCTGATACGTTCTGGAGATTATTGACGACAATGGTAACTTTGTTATCCTGGAGAAAACTGCAGATAAGGTTAAATTTTTTTGTGTCAAAGGAGGTACATGAACTTACCTCGTATTCAATAGGAGGTACATGAACTTACCTCGTTTTCACTTTGTTATCCTGGAGAAAACTGCAGATAAGGTTAAATTTTTTTGTGTCGAAGGAGGTACATGAACTTACCTCGTATTCAATAGGAGGTACATGAACTTACCTCGTATTCAATAGGAGGTACATGAACTTACCTCGTTTTCACTTTGTTATCCTGGAGAAAACTGCAGATAAGGTTTAATTTTTTTGTGTCGAAAATTGATGGAAAATATCATATCTGGTCACCAAAAGACATATTTAATATTTCTGTCACTGTGCCATTATAAACACAGACTTAATATTATATTGATGAATGATTCAGAGAAACACACACCTTGTATATACTAGTAGGTGCATAAACTTACTTTGTATTCACTAGGAGGTACATGAACTTACCTCGTATTCAATAGGAGGTACATGAACTTACCTCATATTTACTAGGTTTCCTGTTGATTCCATGAGTAAACCATATTCAAGATACCTACCAAAACTTAGGACTACTTTTATATAATATGTTTATAGGAGTTTGTGGATTAATATGCTAAACAAATCATTTGAAATTAAATTGTTTCATTGAAATTTTTCCACTCTGTTCATTAGTTGAATATTTATTCCTCAATGCCTGTTTATAAGATGTGTAATATATTAAAGAAAACTAAAGTAGAAAACTCGGAAGTAGAAAAATTCTGTCAAGATTTGAATTCTTATAATTATGTTGTTATAGAACACTGGTGTATAATTTCTAGTTTTAAACATTACTCAAACTATTTAGAAATCATTTTAATGTTAAGGTCAATTCTAACAAGTTATCTCCCTTTATTATTACTGGTGTTACTGTTATTTTAGATCATCACACTTCTTTCTATAGATAGGATTTTTTTAGATTGGAATTATCAGTATGTGAGCTTTCTGGTCTGTTTTGTCTCTTTAGTGCTATTTTCAATATTCTGTTAACCCAATGTATGAAAGTTGTGTGGTAATAAAGCACATGATGATAGAATTTCAGAAATAGTATATTCAGTGTATTTGTATATCGGTTTGACATTTTAAATGTGGAGGACTACATGTAGACCTTTGAGAGTCTTCACCATCCTGTGTTATAATATATTTTCCTTCAAGAATTTTCTTCAGATCAAACCATTTGACTTCAAGCTTTATTAGATTTCTTTATCATAGTCCAATTTTTTTTGTTAGTATACAAAGTTATTTATAGACTAAAAACAGGCCTATGGTAGTGTAGTGATATTTAATTGCAAAATCTCTAAACCCTCAGTTTAGAAAATCTCTAAAACCCCAGTTTAGAAATCTCTGAAACCCTCAGTTTAGAAAATCTCTGGAACCCCAGTTTAGAAAGTCTCTAAACCCTCAGTTTAGAAAATCTCTAAACCCCAGTTTAGAAAATCTCTGAAACCCTCAGTTTAGAAAATCTCTAAACCCTCAGTTTAGAAAATCTCTGAAACCCTCAGTTTAGAAAATCTCTAAACCCTCAGTGCTGTCGGTGTTCCGTGGTCAAGCCATTCTTATCTTTTTATGCAAATAAATTTTGTTATCAGCAAGATGTTGCATATATTGATTTTTTATTATGCATTTAATTATCAAACCCAGAGATCGTCCAACTGTCTAAATATAACTATCCCTTTATAAGCTCTTATTAGAAAATAAGCCCCATTCTTCATTTTACAGAGTTACCGATTTTAAATTAGTAACCTAAATGGGGTTCACAAGTCCTCTCCAAATCATGTTGCTTAACGTTTATGTTGGGGTTGGGGCAAACATTAATACTTTATTTTAGCAACACTGGAGGCAGGGGGCTTATTTGATGATGAAAACTCTCATGGAACTGTTGTAGGAACTGCCTTCTGTCCAGAGAAGACTCCAGTCTGCAGGTATCAGTTAGAAATGAAAATATTGGGAATCGAACACACTTCCACAGTATTTTATCTTTTACATATACATTTCATGTGTGTTTACACACACAAAGGTGCAACAAGTGCTTTAAAGTGATTAAAACATACAAGATATATTGACTGATGACAAGTTAAGACAAGACGTTCATGCTTTTATTATATGAATTGTAATCAGTTTAATTCCCGTGTCTGTCCAATAACATTAAATCCAAATCAAATCATTGCATGCCTGTAACATTGTAATGTTATCACATGTCTGGAGCTATGTGTGTATTAAAAAAATTTTGAACACTAAATTCCAAATTGGAAAGATGAAACCATATACGCTAAATATTTTTTCCATTTATAAGTATTCAGAACTTGGTGTTAAATGGTTATTGAATGACAATTTTTGATTCTCTTGGCCAGTGTAGTGTTCAATACTTAAGATAGTATAGCACCATCATGTTGTTTTGTCAGAACTTTTTCTCCACATATGAACTGCCTTTTCAAATAACTTGCATCATTTTCAACATTCCATATTTATAAAAGTTGTAATTAATTAGAAAACCAAACTCTATAATTTCAGTCATCGAACTCACTTTTTATCAATGTTGCCATGGTCACAGACTGCATAATAAACCAAGATAAGAACAGGGGCAGTAACTCTGATACTGAAATTGTCAAATTATCTCTTCCATTTAAAGGAGATTATTACTGGGAATTGAGCCATGAGGTGAAGTCTTCTTTACAGTTGTAAGGATTGAAATGTTACTTCTGTGTTATACCCTGTTTTACAAAATATCTACACCTAACTTAGAGAGGAGGATGGACTGAATTAAGGGGTTGTTCCAACCTTCTACTTTAACCTAGCCAAGTGGTGTAACTGAAATTTATATCTTGTCTCAAAATTTCGGATAGTGTTTTCTGTTGGTAAACAGTCATGTTTTAACATATTTTATGTGGAAAGTATTGCCTGTAAATAAATTTTTAAGTGTGACTTTTTGTGTTTTAGTAACTGCACAGTGCAACCTTTTCTGTCTTGTGCTGTTCACTAAATATGTGATTACCATACATGTAAACTGTGTTAAAAGATACCTGTGTTACAGAGACACCAGTTATTGTACAGGTTGTTGTTTTTGAGGGTTTTAAAAACTTGTAAGACTTCTGCATTTTGAGTTGAAAAGGCATTAATTGATATCAATTAACTTAACTGACTGTCCATTATTAAAATTTTTGACACTGTGAATGTGCAGCCAAGTAGAAAGTGCTGATGTGTGTGTCAAGGCTAATTAAAAATATAGACCAGGTTTATACGTAAACATAATCATGGCTTCAAATCGTTCATTTGTAGAGTGTTTATTCCACTTAATCACATAGGGTCTTTTGTCTGACAATATATTGTTTTAACTCTCCATGCATTTCTTGGGAGGATAACCCAGAAAGGAAATGCTGAGACAGATTGCTTGTAAATTGAATTTCAGGGAGATAAGTCAATGTCAGCGTTCCGTTGGATGACACTTTTACATTATATTGTGGAAACGATTCATTTATTGCATAATGAGCTTTTATATCCAAAATGATATTGCTGATCTTGTGGAACAATGAAATGAATAAACAAATGAACTGTTTTGTTTGTGTAGTTGATTTTCCTCAGATGTGGCATTCTTTTATCTTTAGATATCTGCTGATTAACCAATATGCCTGAGGTGAAGAAAGCATGCAGAGCTATCTAGAGTGCAGCGACTGATTTTCAATGTCACAAATGTCAAACGTATTTAACAAAACAAGTGGGCATGTATCTCATGCATGGATATCACAGAAATGAAATGTAGTACTGATCGTCACAACGTGAGCAAGTATAGTGCACGCATTTTTCAGCCAAAACTGTCGTTTCAAAAGGGGATGCGGACTATACGTACGAATATGCCATTCTGCGGGTTATCATT